GGGGTGTGAGGTGGGAGATGGGAGGTGAGGGGCATGGAGTGGATGGAAGGGGCTGACTCTTAGAGAGGAGCTGGGTGGGGAGTGGGGTAAAGAGTCGGGTGGGAGGGGTGGAGGTCACTGTTGGGAGGATCAAGGGTTGGAGGACCACAGGCATGGGGATAAGGGTTAGAGAATAAGGTGTGGATATGGTTCGGGAAGGGTCTAGGGGTCACTGGTATACGGATGGGGTGTTGGGTGTGGGCTAAAACGTGGGAAAACTTGTGGTGGGGGTGGGTCAGGATGGGGATGAGGGGTCTGGAGAGGTGTGGCCACTTTCCCACTCCCAGGCTTAATCCACTATGTCCTTGTCCTAGCTATAAACATTGCTTCTTCTCTGTCCCTGCTCCAGGGACAGTACTTCTGCCTGTGTGTCCTGCCCCTTTCTGGAACCCCATACTCACACTCCTTGGTGATGAGGAGATAAGCTTCTGTGGACTTGGAGGCCCTTCCCCCAGGGCAGGCTTTGCCATGGTTCCCAGTAGGCTGCTTATTGATTGCCTCTACCTTCCTCTGCCTCCAAACAGGGACCAGAGCATCCTTTCTGGCCACAAGAGCCCTGGGTCAGGGAGGCTGCCCATGGGGCACTGCTCCTTGCCTGCCAGCCTGGGTGACAACAGAGACCACTGGCCAACTTGAGGCTCCTGCCCTTTGCCCAGTACCCTGAGCTCCCTGTTCTATGCACCCCTCATACCCAGCATTAGCCTGGGAGTCCTGCTTGGCAGGAAAGCTGTGGCAGGTGGGAGGAGAGAGGAAGGCAGTGAGGCAGAAACAGCTACCAGCCGAAGTGGAGGAAGAGCAGAGCCCCAGTGGGTATGGGCAGAAAGCGAGGCGCTGGCTCTGGCAGCCCCCCACCCCCTCCCCATGTGTGGGTGTTAGGCCCAACCTCTTTCTCTAGCATGCCCCATCCAATGCTGCTGTTCAGGGATCAGGCTCTGCTCATAGACCTAACTAAACTCTGGGCTGAAATAGACCTCAGAGGTCACCTGGTCCAACTCCCTGACCATCTGGTGAAGTCACCTTCACAGCATTTCCCCCAGGGGTCTGCCTGTATCAGGCCAGATATTTCCTGGGAGCAGGAGCTTACTTCCTCCTAAGGCAGTCTTTCCTTCTCTGAAAGGAAAAAAACTATTAACTGAGCAACTCTGATGTGTCAGGCCTACATACTGTACAGAGTTCTCATTAATAATGACCTCACAGGACTGTTAGGATGAATTAGCCCCATTTTACAGATGAGAAAAGTGAGGCTCACAGAGTTGAAGTCCCTAGCTCAAGGTCACACAGGTAATAAATAAAGAGCTAGGTTTGAACCCAGGACTTTCTGACTATGAATTCCCTTTGGGGCCAAGCAGGACATGCTTCTTCGTTTGTACCATGACACTCTTCTGAGGGGTGAAGTCAGAGACCACATCCTCCTGAGTCTCCTCCAGGTGAAACTGCTCCTTCAACTCTCTGCAGGAGAACTTGGGTTCTAGCTTCCTCCTCAACCCAGTCAGTGAGACCCAGAACCAAACACACAGTCTACCAGGTGGGTTTGGGCCAGTCCAGAATAGAGCAGAACCATCACATCCTTCCTCAGCACTAACCTTTATTAACATGGTCCTATGGCTGGTAAGAGAGCCGAGAGTTGTCCTTCCCTTGGGCCTCTATCCCCCCTTGGATCAAGAGTTATGAGAGAAGAGGCAAGGATCTTGCTCTCATCTCCACCATTCTCCCCACTTTGAACATTCTGAAGTGAATGCAGGAAAGAGGCAGAGGTTGGGGAAAAGGCAATCACGACCAGGCAGGGGCATGGCAGGATTGGGAGGATGGAGAGCTGTGGGGGAGTGGGGTGGTTGTCCAGTAACCCTAGGAAGGGCCAAGAGGTCCAAGGGGGTGGATAGGGCTTGGAGGTGCACAGGAAGATAAGGGAGGGGTGAAGCACGGTCCCAGGGGTTGGGAGAGGTCAAGGTAGGGACCGGTATTGGCCTGCCTGAGTTAACATTGCCCTGCTGTGCGAGAGGAAGTCAGTCGCACATTAAGGAAATGTTGCAGCTGGTACTAAATTGGGAGGTGTCACAGACAGCAGTGAGGACAGGTATGATTCGTGGGGCCCTGTGTGGCCCAAAACAGGGGCAGACACTGCAAAGGGAGAGAACAGGTTTCTGGGGCCACCTGGGAAGGATCTGACTGAGGTACTCAGGACAAGTCCCTGAGGACAGGGGGTCACTGAGCCCTGGAACAGAAGCTCCAGGCTTGGTTTCCAGAGGTAGAAGAAGCCATCCTCATCCTAGCCTGGGGCTGTGGCCTCTCCACTCAGCAGAAGCTCTGAGGGTGAGGCATCATCTCCCAGGGATCTCATTCGGGGTCGGGGCTGGACAGGAGGGCTTGGAGCCTGGGAGCAGGCTTGGGGATTGGCAAAGAAGGCCTGCAAAGAGGGAGAGGGGGCTGCAGGTAGGAGGTGAGCAGGGCTGTCTTGTCCTTTAGTGTCCATAATACAGCTACATTTGAGAGCTCTGTGGGTTCGGGCCTCAGCTGATAAAGAGAGCACTGGAAGAGGGGTGGGAAAGACAAGAAGAGAGCTGTGGAGCTGGCACTGCCCTTCTGCTGGCACAGCAGGCAGCAAGAGATCAGGAGGAGTTTGCTTGCTGGCTGGCTTGCTCGTTCGCTGGAGAGAGAGACAAGGAGACAAAGGAGAGGAGGGAGAGCCATCGGGAACTTGATGGGAGGCCACGGCAAAAGCTTGGGCTTACCACCAGAACACGTGTGTTGAAGTCCTGGCACTCCTGCTCATTAGCTGAGACCTTAGGGCAAACTGCTTGCTCCCCCTGCACCTCAGTTTCCTCATCTGTACAATGGGGCTAATGGTGCTAGTATTACCAACCTCCCTGGGCAGTTGTGATCTCCTAACATATGTGAGAAGGGTTGAAATCCCTAAGCATTACATCCATGTCAGATGTTATATTCCTATTACAAAATACCATCAGCTACCTCTTCCCACTTAAATATCACAAAAGGCCCAAAGATATGGACAGAGCAAGGTTTATTATCCCTGTTTTACAAATGAGAAAATGAGAGCTTAGAGAAGTGAAGGGACTTGCCCAAGGTCATACCGCTAACAAGTCGTAGATGTGATAAGGCCTCCTGAATCGGAGAGATCAGTCGTCCTTCTCCTATATCAAACTGCTTGGTAAAAACAATCCACATGAAGAATTATCATTTAGTGCAGGATCAGATGGAGCTTGGAGCCGATTAGAACATGGGAAAAGAAAAAAAGCCCATGGGAAAGTTGTAGCGTGGCTCTCATTCATCCTGGTGATTGAGAAAAAAACCAGTCAGGGCATGGGTTTGGAGGGAGGGCCACAAAAAACAGACCACTTTATTCCATCTGTGAGTGGACCATGCCCCTTTGCTCCCACTGAGTGTATATGTCTCTATCTCTATAATGACACAACGTGTCCTTCCTCATGATAGTACTTCTGCCTGTGTGTCTCTGACACTGTGGGGAGGTGTGCATGTGTGTGACATGGTGTCTGCTTCTATGGCACTGTTCATGGGTGTGACGACTTCTCTGTATCTCTGTATGACTTTGCCCAGGGTGGTGGTGGTGGTGTATGGCAGTGTGTGTGAGTGTCTATCTGTCTGTACACCTTTAAGAAGTGGAATATCTCATTTGGTAGTGTGAGTGAGGCAGTGAGTCAGCTGAGGCTGAGAGAGGTGGGAGGGAGACTGCTAGGTTACGAGAACAGGAAAAAGGAGAAGGAGAAAGTAAAGTCAGGAGAAAAGAGCTACCCGTTTCCTCCCCAAGCTTCTGTCCCAAATACCTATGGAGCCCACCAATAGCCTGGAAGCCTTGCGGAAGTCCACAGGGGCCATGCTGGATAGAAGGGGGCACTTTCTGTCCCTCCTCAAAGCCTTGAAGAGAAATAAGCAAGGCTAGGAGGCAACTGTCTCTCTCTCCAGCTCTTGGCCCCCAGCTCGAGGATGTGTGAGGCCACCACCCCACCTTGTCTCCTTGTCACTTGACCCTTTGACCTTGCTGTTATCTTTCCTCCCAAAGGCAGGCCCCCTGGCCAGTCTGGGCAAGGAGGGCAGTAGCATTGGGTCCCAAATGTTTGCAGCCCCCACCCACCTACTGTCTAGAATAACCCTGCCAGGAAGTTTCTCAGCACTCAACTCTTCCCTAGGCAGGCCTGTTCTGCAGCTGTCTCACCTCTCCTCTGAATGCCCATCCCCAGCAGCCAGAAAGCCAGCTTTCCCTCCACTGCCACCCTGGAGTATTGGGAAGGCACTGGGAGTTTTGTAATGCACCAGCCTTTCGTGGCCCTCCCACAAGCCGCTGTGGCCCTGTTTTCAGCTCCTTCTTTTGTTGGGGAGATGAGCCTGCAGGTTTCCTCCTTGGGAGAAGACAGGCACCCCTGGGCTCCACCTGCCTAGTCTCTGGCCAGCCACCTCGGGTCACATAAGGTCAACAGTGTGGTGTGCCCCACCACCAGGAATTCCCCTTCTTTCACCCATTGGCAAGAGCCAAAGGGTGCTGGTTAGGTTGCCGAATATTCTTCCTCCAGCCTTTGGCCTTCCCCTTGCACCAGCCAGTCTCAGGACTTTCAATTCCAGCCCAGGAAAGGAGGTGGGCACGGCTGACTGAGGATGGAGGCTGGGGGAGAGCAATCTTTCCTTCCACCCCTTTGCCAGCCCAGGGGCCCGGAAACCCCTCCCTTTTCATGCAAGAGCAGGGTGCCAGGAAGTCCCAGCCCTGCGGTGTCCAAACCTGGAATTAATAGAAGTTGGCCAGGTGGTAACCTGACCTGGATCCCTGAGGATGCTCTGGGGAGGGTCCCAGGGTGACACTCGCAGTCCCGCACTGGGAACGGTGGGAGTGGTGGGGTGGGTAGAGAGAGAGAGACTTCCATTTTTCTCTCGGTCCCATTGCCACCGCCGCCACCGCCCAGGGAGCCGGTGTGGTCGTGGACGTCAGTCCCTACCTTACAGCCTTTCATGCAGGACCGGATTGAGTACTCTTCTGCCTGTAAGTATTTATGCAGCACGAGGTCGAACTCGTCATATTTTTCCTGAGCATGTCGGTCCAGCCGCTGGTACACCTCGACACAGTTGCTACACGCCTCCCAGGCCCCGGAGCCCGGGCTGGCCACTACGGCCAGCAGGTCCCCCAGCAGGGTGTCCAGGCTACAGTCCAGGCTGTCGGGGCGGTCCATGCCCAGCAGCAAGTCCCAGACCGTGTAGGTGTCGCAAAAGGAGAGAGTGAAGTTCCGAAAGTGGCCTTTGAGCAAGTTTTTTTTGGCGGAGGGGAACTCGACCGGGGCACGGGAATGGGAGTCAGGGGGCTGCAGAGGAGGAGCCGGGGTAGTCGGTTCGAAAAGTCTCTGCAAAGATTGCAATTTGGTGCAAGCTGCGTCCAGCCCCGTGGGCTCTGGGACGCCGCCGCAGACCGGTCCAGGGCCGGCGGCGGGGGCTGCTTTGGTCAGGTTGCTGTATCGGGGGCCGCAGGTGCCCGGGGGCGTGCTGGGCTCGCTGGGCAACGGT